CACTGCATGTGTATTACGACCAGATCTTTCCTGGTGTGACTGCAGAGCTAACCGCTTGCCTCTTGTCTGAATCCCTGAGCACAGATCCCTCTGAACTCGTCTTGTTGACTGCCTCAGTTGAATGTACAAGGGCAGAGTATTACAGCAGCGTATAGTTATTATTGGAAATAATAACTATTATTGGAATAATAGACCATGACGTACTCTGTAACTTTTTTCGTCATGCTATCGAATATATTCATGCAGAAATATAGGGTCAAATGATAATGAAACATTACGGGGTTAAATTAATCTTTTAGTAGGTCCATTAATTTGATGGAATTACACAAGAGACTAGGTTGATTTATAAGGTAAATGCATTTTAGTAAAAGGTATGGAAACGACTAAACGAACAATTGCATTTAAAGACTCATGACTCTAATAGAGTTTAATTTTAAACGGCTGCAAAGAATGGAATACGTACCACTCTTTTGTTAAGCTAGAAATAAATAAAATACTCTATAAGTGTTGGAGCTAATTAGTTAAGTGCTCAACTATTTAGTTTTTAAAACAAGATCACGCTTAAGTGCCTTAAGCTTTTATTAATTGCATGGACCCCAAAATCCCCTATAGTAATTGAAAATTTAATTACATACATTTTTTGTTCTTTTAAGAATGGAAGCTTATTAAACTTTAAACACTTAAACATCTATACCATTGGCTATAAACAACATGCAATTCTAAATACTAATTAAACAGGAAGGCTAAATCACTGTAAAGCTAAACTGAATTTTAAGTAACTTTGCACTCGTAAGTACTCCTATTTTTTTCATGCTGTATAAGATTTACCGTTTCTTCTCTAAACACAGCAGAAGTCCTGGGCAGCGTTAGTATCTGTACTGTGGCAGGCACGTTGTTTTGTGGACGTATTTGCAGTGAGGGTCAGTCCCTAGAGAATAAACCGGAGTTCAGGAAAGGAGACGAGCGTGGGCAGAGAGGGGTTTAAGTGGACAGCTAAAGCTGCCGGTGGCACTGATGCGCGGAGGTTCATACACCTCTTGGAAAGGGTGTGTGGTAGGCTAAGAGTGGTGAAAGGCAGGGAGACGTGGCTTTGTGGGGTTGGTCAAGAAACCAATGGTCTGTGCACTACTGACTCACAAGATTTATGATTTGGTAACAGTTACGTGTTGGAAGGTCCTTAATTTTTCTTTCTTTTATAGAAACTTCACAGCACTGGGAGCAGAGGTGTCGGTATCTGCATTCTGGTTTTCAGATCCAGTCTAATGCAAGTCTTTGTCAGTTGATCAACTGATTAACGGCTTAGTTAATTTTCTTCAGACAGATGTCTGACTTCTCAAAATTCACCATTGCTGTTTGCATTCTTATTAACACAAGATAAAGACAGAATCAACCGCTCAGTCTAGACTATCTTCGGATTTTAAATGGGGCTCTTCCTTAATGTAAAGGTTCACTTTTGCTTCTGCTTGGTCAACACAACAAGAACAACATTACTATGTTAAGGTTGAAGTGGGTTGCTCATACATAGACATGATGTTATCTTGTACTGCCCAAAGCAAGTCTCTACCTAGCAGAGTATTTGAGATGCTGCCCGTCGCTGTATCGCTGTTTATACTAGAACTTAAAATGCCTCTAGGGATAGCAGAAGTAACCTGGTGGGATTAACAGCAGCAGAACAATACAAATTCTTTTCAAGGAAAGTTCCAAGCGTGGATCGTGAGCCCTGGCGGTTTATCAGGCAGATGCAATTCCTCTCTCGTCAGAGTATTACTGTAAATACTCAAACCTGAAACACTTGATGTGTTTGTCTTCTGTGGCAACCACTGTGTTTTCATACTGTGTTTAAATATCCAGAGGTAGCTATGATCTTGCCTTTTGATACGTGGGCAAACGCAACAGTTAATTTTTTCTCAGCATAAAAGAGCAGGAGCAGTTGCGTTTAGAAGAATGTACAGGTGGGACTCTCAGCAAGTGATGACTCCAGCTTCCTTCTTGCACCTCCTACCCTGTTTCAGAGGATTCAGATCATCCAGGACAAATGGTAAAAGGTCCACAATTCAAAATCTGTTTTCCAAACACCAGCACCTCAAAAAAATAAGAAGGAAAAGATCCTTTCATCCCAGGGTGTCAGTGTTTTCTCTTTGCTCATAGCAGTTCTCAGAACTGGTTCATTTCCTGTTGCAGCACCTCTCAGGAGCTGATCTACTTCATTCAGGAGTTACTGATCTACCAAGCATTTACACGGCACTCTTCCTCCCTAAAATGGTTTAGAAAAATCATCTTTACCACCACTGAAAGGCAAACGGTATCGTAGCTTCCTTATGGACTCAGAAACAGAATGGCTGCGTAACTTTATCAAGACAATAAAAAGTAGTAAAGGCTAGAAGTGGGGTATGGGTTCTTCCTTTTTCCCCAGCCAGTTTGATTCTTTTCTCTAAAAGACCAGAATGAAGATTCTACCAATCTTTTTTATTAATACGTGAAATACAAATACACCTCCACCCCGCAGGAAAAGTTGTTAAAAGCAAACCCCATCCCTTTCCTAGTTGTGTCACTAGATGGCCCCGCGTCTGAAGCAAACATCCCAGAAAATATCTGCTACGCTGGGAGACCTTTCGCCTGCTCTACCCAGTACTTTTTACAGGTTGGCAAACACAGGGCGAGGTATTGGTTTTAAAATAAAACAACAGCTGACTGTGCTATCTCAAGTGTTTAAATGCGCAGCGGATTGCTAGGTGATACCCGCTGCTGTGTACAGAGCAGGGGGAGCGGGTAGGTCTAACCTGACAAAGGCAAGGCGTGCTGAAGAGGTAAGTTGGTTTAGCAGCACATCGCACCACCCAAAAGCACCTTTGCTTGTAGGAATAAATGATTCTCCAGTATCCGCAGTTGGCTATAAAGATGCTTCCTTCCGAGAGACCAGGAATTCTAGGGTAATTGTCTTTCCATATGGATATTCCTTTTACGCATCTTGGGGGATTTAAAAACAGAAGCCTTGGTCAGTTGTAATTCTTTGGCTTGTTTGTGTGCCAGGCACTGGCAGAGAGCAGCAGAAGTCATGGCTACAGGTGCTGGGGCTCTGTTTCCAGTGTGAGGAGGACAAAGATCTGTGGGGTTGTCACCTGCAGGTTCCTAACACTTGGGCTAGGCTTTTTCTGGGGGATGGATGCAGGCGCTGTTCGATTGGGGTAGACGGGAAGGAAACTGGGGGTGGAAGTGGGAGTCTGTATATGCATTACTGCGCACTATCATCAGGAATATATATGTGCTGTGCAAGCAACATATAAACTACCGCTCTTTCCCCATCCCCTGAAAAAGTGCCAGTCTTTCAGAGCTCACTCATGGTAGTTATGAGTGAGCATGAACACTCACTCATCATTTATGAGTCCTCATAAATGATGCTGAATGTCAGCATCCTAAAAGAGAAAGGAAATAATTTATTTGCCTGAGTGTGGGTTTGGCCATACCTGCTTTTCCTGTGGTTCCAGCTTCAAATCCCAATGAGGCAGACCAGAGTCGATATGCTGATTTCTAGAGCTTTCCTTGTAGCAACTTCTGTTACGACCCTAAAATCTCAGGGTTTCTCTGCAGGCGCTCAGCATATATGGCATGTTTCATCAAAGTAAGACTTTGTTCCAGTATCTTACGAGATTTCTGTTTCCAGTGTCCCTTTTGCTATACTTAATATTGCACTGTGTGTAAGATGTAGCTTCGCTGAATGATGGCAAAGGTGTTTTACACCGCCTTGTTTTTATTGCTCAACCATTTGGGAATGCCTTTGAGCTCTCCAATCTGTGTGAAGAAATCTATGGGACTGACTCCATATTGAAATTTCTGCTTGTCGGGACCTGTGTTTGGTCACTCCTGTGTTACAATTGGGCAAGTTTGGTGTTACCCCAAACTACTTATTCTTCAAGTGCTCTGTATTTCACTTGTTGTATTTATACATCAAGGTCTATGAAAGGGGAGGTGACAACCGTGTACAGCTGGTCTTTGTAGTGTAGTTGTGTGGATCCCAGACCTTTTTTCCATCCCCCCTTCTCCAAGCACTCAGAAAATGGGTTTCTAGTTGCAAGGGAAGGACCCAGCCACGCTGGAGCACGACGTTTCCTTGCACAGCCCTTGGAGACATTGTGCATGGGGTCTCCAAGAGCCCTACCCTGAAATTCTCAGCAGCCTGAACATGTTGGAGATCCATTGCCATAGTAAGGGAAATAAGTTATTTCTTCAACCTCAAAGTAATTTTCTCTTCTTTAGGAAAAGGTTTCCACCCATCCAGTAGCCCTGATAATGTGTAAGAAAAATTACATTGAAAACCGCTTTCCTTCTGTTTATTAACAGTGAGTTGTTTTACAGTTCTTACATGCTGTTGTCTTAATTTGTTTGTTTCCACAGGCTACATTTAGATGCTGTTTACAGCAATAAAGAGAATATTACATTTGATCTAGAGTTCTGTCTTAATTCACAGGATGAGATGCGAACAGAAGCTCGTCGAAAAAATCTCCTCATTCTAATTTTGCATTATTTAATGGAGGAAGGGTATGTTTTTTAAATAATAGTGCTCTACATTTGTGGGTCTGTGTCTGACCTCCCGTAATGTGTCCCTCTGTCCTCTCTTGGGTGGATGGACAGCATGGCCCTTTGGTTTGATGTGAGAAAGGTAAACTACTGTTACATATCTTGGCAGTTTACTTTGCTAAATTGTTTCATTTCTGGAACAAAAATGTCCTGTATAATTTAAAAACACTTTAGAGCAATCAGCAAAGGTGTTTTAAATAGAGTTTATGCTTTTATAATAAATAGAGTTGTGGACAGGTTAAATATACCATATACTTACTAATGCTATTGTTTGCTTTTTCTCTCAAAAATCAGAATGAGATAATGACTCTCAGTTTTTTGATCTTTGTTTTTTTGAAATTACCAGGTATGTCGATGCTGCAAATGCTTTGGAACAAGAGACGAAATTAAGTTTACGTGGCTTTGAAGTTTGTGACAACATTGATCTTGAGACAATTTTGATGGAATATGAAAGCTATTACTTTGTAAAATTTCAAAAGTATCCTAAAATTACCAAAAAGGTCCTGGACACTGGTATGTGGCTGTTTTCCAGAAAGAAAGCTTTTGTTTCTCAGAGCCTAAAATGTGTATTTGCCTGATATACTCACCGCACTTCTCGTCTGTGGCAGTGTTTAATGTTTGAACCCTCTTACAGTTACAGAGCGATAGTTCTAGCACATAGGACATAAGAATTGAGAGGTGGGGCTTTGAGCCCTTCTGCTCTTCCTTCTCTCTCTATGTAGAGGAACAAGAAGGTGATATTTTTCTGTCTTTTAAAAACTGCTTCGATATTGGAAAATGCCATTTAAGTGCAAAGTATTATGGCATAGATATATTCGCTTTCTTCTCGTGGGGAGAGAATAGTAAGTCTGTTCTATTTTGGATTTAATGTTTAAATTAAAATAAACCACTTAAATGAAATACTGTATCTTAGCTCATCCAAGCTAGTGCTTAAAAGTTTAACACCGCTAGTCTCATTAACTATTCATTTTGCACATTTTCATATACTAAAGGTAAAGTGCCAAACAAGTACTAGGTTTATTTGCTCCAAAGGACTTAAAGTCTGAGGTATAAATGAATGATACGGAGTAAGGCGAATCAGAATATGAGCATTCTGTTACGACCCTGAGAGCCTGAATGGTTTTGTACTTGAGTACAAAATGTAACTTAGAGAAGCCATAAGAACAACTGTGTAAGAATCAATTATGAAGAGCTTGGAGGGTACAGAAAACACCAACATCTCTACCTGTTTGTCTCGTAAGAAAAATATAATCATCAGAGAAGGGGATGATCGGCCAGGGAACATCTCTGAGCAGTTGTCATTGTTTCATATGGCTGCCAGCAACTTTGAAATCACAGGTAAACCAGACATAATATAAAAAAATTACCTGTATAGGTGAAATGATTTTTGAAAGTTACTAAAGCTGCTAGTCATCATTACATTCATGGTGATGTAGAAGATCAGTACTAGCTGGAAGCAAGTATTACCTGCATGAAAAAGAGATTTACAGCTAGAAGCTATTGATTGGTGTTAATACAAAGAGGAGCAGCCTTGCAGGACGAAACCAAAGGGATTTGTTATGAATCAAGAAGGAAAATGTATTACAAAGCATTTATGACATCATACTTATTCTTAGTCAAACTGAGTGGTAGCCAAGGCCAGATCCATGAAGTTAGATCCGTGTGAACAAGTCCCAAAAAGCCAGTAAATCTCTTGGACACTTACAAGCTCTCGGTACCCATTTATTGGTCAGTAAAGCTACTCAGACATGGGGTGCTCTGCCAATACCCAAGCCCAGAATTGCAACCATGCCGGCAGGGATGTATCATCCTTTTTCCCCAAAGCCTGAGCGGCCTCCCTCCTGCATGTGTCTCTCTTGAGAAACTGCTGCCGGGTAGTTTGCAACCTGCCTTAAATTGTGTCCGTGGTCAGGTCATGGTATACGCAGGCCAAACAAAATGATTAGTGTGGTGCTCCTTCCTGCTAAATTCTTGGTAACGCTCTCGGCAAATCCTACAGAACCAGCTCATTTCCGCGCTGAATTGCGGTTTGCAGTGTTGTAGATGTACTCACAGGATTACAAGTTTCACGCATGGGCTCTGCTGCCTCTACGTACACCGCGTTCGCCAGCTCTTTCAGTGAAGCAGCTGTTTGGGGAGGATTATTTTATGTAAGTGTATGAGAATCTGGGTGCAAGAGCATTGTGCAGAGAACCCTGATAGGAGATGTATTTTGGAACAACACGCTAGTATGATACAAGCCCTCGGCTTTATGAGTTCACATCTGGGCTTTGTGAGTTTGACATTTGGTGAAAAAAGTTTTTCTTTGACAGAAATTGTTTCAAATGATACAAGTGCAAAAAATAACATAGTTTGATAACCACCCTTGCAGTGTGACATTTATGCTGTCTTGGTATGTTGAACATGATAAAATTACTGTTAAGAGGAGTAAGGCAAATTCTTATTTCCCAATTCAGCAATTAAAAAAATATTAGCATTAAATAAACATTCTGTGCGATATATTAAATTAGTTTATTGTTCTTAATCTAATTTCCGGTAGTGTCCATTTTACTGTGAAAATGATACTGATTTTAAAATGTAAGCAAAGAAACCAAAGACTGAATGAGCCTGAAATTTAACAAGCCTGAAGCCAAACTGCTCTCTCCAATATCAGTTTGTTTTCAAAACATTTTTGCAAGCTTGCATTGCTTATTATCACGCTGTTCCTGTTTATGCATTGTTATTTCCAAGGTCATTAATGTGTGCTCAAAAATATGTCTGAAGGGGGGGAAAAAAAAAAATCAAGTTGCCCTTTTTTATATCGTTAATTATTTTCCATTTTAATATTAATTTTGCCACAGCCGAAAATAAACAACAGCTGAGAACTGGAGGAAGACCAAGAAGGTAAGAGAAACGCGTGGGGGTTTTTTTCTGGGCAGAAAATTTTCCTATAAAAGCAATATGCAGCGTGGTTAAAAAAATGTTGTAATACCCTAGGAATACTGAAGCCTAGAGTCATGCTGCTGGTGTATTTTTCTGTATCTTTTAGAGGAAAATAGAGACTTATTTCCCAAATGGAGATGCAGACAATTTACAAAGTTTCTGCAGTGTGGCTAAGGTAGGGTGGCGTGTTTGAAAGCAGTAAGCGCTGAACTTTGCTGTGATTGAAACATGCCTTAACTTCAGTGGGAGCAAAGTTAGCCCAAAACTGCTTTATTTGAAAACTCCGCCTTTTAATCTTTTGGTATTTTGAAGGAAAAAAGAAGTTGTGAAAGCCTTTCAAGATATTATTTTTTTAATTCTAGGGCAGCAAGTTCTTCTCAGAATCTCCCAAGGCTCAAACATCAGCCAGTGCAACGACCGTTGTCAAAAACTTCACCTGGGTGCACAACAGAATTTAAATCATCGACCACGGAGAGCCCCAAACAGGTTTGAACAGGTTTTATCTTGGCAGCATTACAGTTGAAATTAATGTGGTTTTGTTTTGAGAGGCAGCAAGAGGATGTGAGTTATACGATTAATAATTTAAAGAGTTACACAAATAATAATTGTGTAACTAACAGGTTTTACTAATTATGTAATTTAAGGATTATAGATGGAAGACTTCAGGAGAATATGCTTTCTGGCTGTGAGTTGGGGAGCAAGTCACAGGCAAAAATTAGAGGAAAAGGAGTCATATAATCCAACCTATGCTGAAAGCAACCAGAGTTTTCCCATTAACACCAGTAGATTAATCCTTCAGTGCCAGAAAGCAAGACAAACAAACCAAGTAGAAAGTCTGGTGTCAGTTGTAAGCATCTTCGCAGTGCATAAGGTGTTTGAGATTGGGGGAGTAATTTGGCTCTGTAATTTTCAGTTTTGTGAGTCTCATTTTGGTAAGATTGCTGTGAAAACGACTTTATGACCATTCCATACAGAGGAGGGAGCAGGAACAGCAGGTTGGTGGGCAAGCACCCTGTCTGTTACAGTTTTTGAGGAACTGGGTGAAGGAGAACCTCTTTTTTTTTTTTTTTTTTTTTAGTTCTTTTTTATTTCTTTCCAGAGGGGGGGTGC